TGGATATAAACAGAAGGTGGGGGGGATAAATGTCAGCCAGGAAAAGCATGCAGTCACTCACCATCACTCTACTAGCATTTATTACAGTTATTCTCCAGCTTCAGACTCCATCAGTGTACCGTTGCCCCCCCAAAACCCCCCACCCCCCGCTTCCTCTCCTCTCTCGGGCCTTTCGGGACGGTGCACCGCTGCCAAACGAACGGAGAGGAGAGAGGCCGACGGAGGAGACACGCCCCCAGTGAGACGGCTCTCCCGTTTGTGTCCCGAAGCCGTGGGGAAGCTTTGCCACACCTATCCCCCCCCACCCCCGACGCCCACCCCCACCCTTTCTGTCTCGTTTCCAGCAGCGCCCCACGCGTGTTCAATGCTCTCAATCGGTTCGGGGGAAAAAATAGAGCTTTCTGTGACGGTAAAGCTCTAGTGGCCAGAGAGGCTATAGCACGGTTTTATAAGAAGAATGGAAAAGGAATTTATTTCTTAGATTGATAGGAATAAGGGAATGTGTTTTTAAAAGGCGTATTTTTTTTGTTTTTGTTTTTTTATTATTTTGGTCACCGATAAGTTTGGCGTGGGGCTATTAAGGATTTGCCAACGTTGCTTAACTTATCAGAGTGCTTAGTCATAGTTTGAACTGCTGGAGGAGTTCCGCTGCTCACCTGCTGGGTGGGTGGGTGTGGGTGGGGTGTAAGGGGGGGCTGCATCCACTTTTTTTGTTGTTTTTTTTGTTTTTATGTTTCTGAAAAGATTTTTTTTCCTTTAGAGTAATAACCTTAAAACAGTTGTGCAGTATTAATGCGGGATAAAAAGCCAGATTCGGGGCTCCTTCAGCAGCGGCGGCTCGTAATACGACAGAGAAAAATCCTACAGACAATGTGATACAGGTATATTTATTTTAAAACTATTTATAGACGACGTAACCATGTGCTAGCACCGTCATTTTTACATTTCGCGTCATTTTAGCTGAGTAGGTTTTTACGAGGGGGAAAAAAAAAGTCAAATAATAAAAAAATAAAAAAATACGAGTAGCTGTTTATCGTGAAAAGTCCAGGAACATTACCTATAAAACTATAGAGGTACAGTGAGTGTATTTATTAAAGGCGGAGGTTGAACATGAGAAAAAGAGAGAGCGTCTCAGAAGCACAGAAGAGTTTACGCTTCATTCCACGTACGTTTTCTTTCTTTCTCTCGAAGTTGTAAAGTCTTATCTGTTTTGTGTCTTTTTTTCTGCCCACAATTTTGCACTGATTTTTTTTTTTTTTT